GCTGGAGCGCTTTCTGCGCTTGCATCTGGCTCTGGCCGGCCTGTTTGACTCTTCTGGCACTGATCAGGTCTTTTGTTGGGCCGACGAGGTTGTTGGTGTTGCGACTGCCCTCGCCACGGAGGACACCCAATCGCCGGCGGCAGCGGCGACGTCCTCCTCCCAGTTTGTCTTGCCTTATCCTAGGGCAGACTTGCTGCGTCTGCATTGCCTGATAGACGCTGTGCGAGTGAGACATGCTGCTCTACCTGAGCAACGAACTGTTGAGCAAGGGGCGTGTTTTGAGAAACTCCTCAACCTTTTGGAGGCTGTTGATACCTCTGCTGCCGCTGCTACTGCTCCCGAATCTCTTACTGACGTTAACAGTGGGGAGGGCCTAGTACATCTGCAGATCTCAAGTGATCTTCAGCTTCTTGAGATTCTTGAGCTCGCCCTTAAGCTGTGGCTTTACGATAGGCTGCGCGAAATGAGACAGCCTACAACGGACAAGCAGTCATCCGTAGATGCTGCGCTCCTTATCATGATTCTGCATCAGAGCACAGCTTGGTCGAAACTGCTGGTGCAGCTGAATTCGGAGATGCTACAGGAGCTGATGAAGGTGATTAAGGCGGACTGGACGGCGATTCGTGCGCGAATTCTCTCCTGGCTTAAGTCGGGATTCATTGTGGACGCTAGTCTTCTCGCCCAACTGGTTCATATTGAGTCTGAGGCTGGCTCTGACACGTAAGCCTTTATATCCTTTTTATTCATTTTATTATTATCATTATTCTCACCCTTACTATGCCAGCAGTATCATTACAGCGTTCGTTTAAGTAGCTGTCAAAAGCGGAAACAGCTATATTTTTCCGTGCACATGCAGCATGCCTCGTTTCACGAATGTTACAGCTATGTTAATTGCAGTTAAGGAGGAGGGTAGAAATTCATTTGAAACTGTTGTTGATGACCCAATAAGTAGCAGGGTCACCCTGGCGTGCATCAGATCGCACATCGAGGAAACTCTTATTTTGCGGCAAGCACCCCGAAGCGCACGTAGGCGGGATACCTTGTTGAACTGCTGGCATCGAACGTCCACCGCTACACTGTCATCTAAAAGCTCTGTTAAACATGATATGCAAATAATTTTAACGGTGTACTTAATGTACCTGCTATGACCTGCGTCCGGTACTTGTAATTAGCACGAACAGTGAGCTAGCCCCTCCGCTGTATCCAAGGCCCGTACGAGAGAAGCAAGAGAAACCAAGCGACCACGAGCAGCGTGTATTCACACAAAGCAAGTTAGAGCAAGTCATTGTCACACAGAGGCTACGCGTATTAATGGTCCGCACCAAGACACTGCCCAATCGGTTATGAACAAATCAGGATTGAGGAGACATTGCTTACCAGACAGTGGGGTAGCTGAGGACCGTCTTTGTGTGTGTTGATTCATCGTAGTAATGGACGCATTCCCAACAGTACCAAAAACCCCTGAACATTAGTTGAACCAGTTCAGCGCCACATTCATAGGGCTTTCAAGCCAGCATTAAGGTCATAAAGGGGAATTCATTGCAGTCCTGAGCAGGATGGCGCTACCATGTTGGCTGACAAAATTCGAAGCCGAGACTCGAAACCGTGCGTCGTGATAGGTTCAAGAGAGCCCGATTTTGTATATTGAGGAAAGCAGACTTTCTGGGGCCGACCTTGCTCTCTCCCTCTTCGTTCTCCCAGACACCAGCTGCTTGTCTTAGTTAGGCTGATTGAAAATGAGGTTGGGCGCATGCCATTGTCGCTTGCGACAGCCAAACTATAGTTTATGTGAACGTATCCTCGGTGACCGCTTCCCCATTACCATAACTGCTTTCTGTTGGGTTTTGATTTACCACAAACCGCCTTAGGCACCTCCCAGAAAAAGAAAGTTTTTTTCGTGTTTTATTGTGGATCTACTCGTATTTTGACTCCCTGACTTGTACACGTCCAGTAGCTGTCTTTCCAGCTACTTAACTCTGTTGTTTACCACTTGTTCATACAGACCCACGAAAAGTACCCTCACTCTTTAATTTATTGATTTTTTGTACTTGTTTCT